GACACAACTGTGTACTGCAGCAGAAATTACCATGCTGCATAGCTTATGGTGACTGGTGGCCAGCTCCATCTCACAGGCAGCTGTTGGGAGATGAGTCTCTATGCTGCTACTGGCATGAGACTGTGAGACTAGGAAGTCTAGTGTGGCTCTGTTTCTCTGCATTCAGAATCTTTAAGCTTTCGTAGGTCTGTGTGGATCAATGCCCTGCATTGGGCGCTAAATGTAGTCTGAAGTTTCTCCAGTCCTGTCAGGCCCCTGCAGTCCTGTGGCCCGCTTATAAAATAATCACTCAGAAACTTATATTAATTATAACTTCTTGGCCCTTAGCTCAGGCTTATTACTGACTAGCTTTTACACCTAAATTAACCTATAATTATTATCTATGTGGCTTGGTATCTTTTCTCAGTTCTACCATGACATCTTGCTTACTCTCTGTCTGGCTGGTGACTCCCGACTCAGTCCTTCCTCTTCCCAGAATTTTAGCTCAGGCTTATTACTGACTAGCTTTTACACCTAAATTAACCTATAATTATTATCTATGTGGCTTGGTATCTTTTCTCAGTTCTACCATGACATCTTGCTTACTCTCTGTCTGGCTGGTGACTCCCGACTCAGTCCTTCCTCTTCCCAGAATTCTCCTCATCTGCTTGCCCCATCTATGCTTCCTGCCTGGCTACTGGTCAATAAGCATTTTATTTATCAACCAATCAGAGCAACACATATTCACAGCATACAGAATTATATCCCACAGCCCGCACAGAACTACATTCTGTGGAATAGAATGTCTTCATGCCCCTATAGCTCAGTTTTTATTTTGAAGGGTTTTTTTTCAATGCATTTACATCATTCCCACCCCTCCCCTGTCCAAATCCTCCCATGTCCCACACCACTCCCTCTTAAATTCATGACCTCCTTTAATCATTGTTACATGTTTGTGTGTGTATGTGTAAGGAAATTGAACTCATAATTTTAACCACCCCCAAAGGAATCTCATGGACCATATGGTTTCACAGCACAGTTTCATAAAACATTTAAAGAATAATTAACACTAGTTTTATACAGTGTCTTCCAGAAAATGAGAAAACAGTCTGCAGTTCATTTTATGAAGTTACTATTGGCATGATGCCAAAATCAGCCAAAGAGAAAACAAAAATGGAAAAATCAAGAAATTCTGCCCTGTTCATTCTATTAGCAAATAGAATTCAGTGCTAAATTTTAAAGGAATTATGATTTACCTCTTGGCAGTAGGTCTTATTTTAGAAATTCATGAATGGCTCAATGTTCTTAAAAAGCAATATAACCCTCTATATGTGCAAGATAAAGAAGAAAACCCACATTACTCTATTAATTGGCACAGACACATGTCAATATTTGTGATTTAAAAAACCCAGCTGTCAGAAGAGAAGGAATGGGGGTCTCATGCCACTTTATTGAGTCTACTTTTACTACTTTCACACTCTAATCACCCTTGTGCCAGGGGTTCTTGCCACAGCAACTAGGCAAGAAGAAAGGAAAAGCATATCCACAGGAAGAAAGGAAAAACACAGCACCTGCTGTTTGTGAAATAGTATTCTCTGTGTAGACTATCTCAAGGAACTTGTTTTTAAACTTCTTGAAAAACAAGCAAGTCCTTCCAGGTCTCAGAATATAAGACAATCATATAAACATAATTATACTTCTAGCTATAAAAAATAAACATGTGACCTCCAAATTTACATATATAAAACCATTGTCAGCTTCTCAATAAATGAAGTACATATATGTAACTCTACAAAATATGTACAAATCTTACAGCTGAAAATAACAAGAATGTTGAAAACCAAATGTAAATGAATGGAAAAGGTAAACATGTTTGTGGATTGGAAAACTCAAGATGTCAGCACTTCCTGTGAATACACAAATTCAACACAATTCCCATCAAAGTCTCAATAGACTCGTTATAGACATAATTAAGGCTAATGTAACAAAAACACTAAACATCAAAAACAATTAGGCAAAAGAAATTGGCCTATGGATTTCCAGAACTTTCATAGAGTGACAGCAGTACAATGGAGTATTGGAGGAGGAGACACATCTGTGGAATAGAGTAGATTGACACAAATCGGCTGAACCACCTTTAAACAACAAACAAAAAATGCTTAAATCCATCATTTATATGTAGGTTAATTCAAAATGGAGCATGGAGTCCAATACACAATATCAAACTACAAAACTTTTAGAAAAACATAGAAAATACCCAGATCTAAGGCTAAGCTAAAATTTCTTAGGCCTAATACCAAAAATATGATTCATAAAAGAGAAAAAAAAAGTAAGTTGCACTTAAAATGTTTACTTTGAAAAAGACCCATATAAAAAGCCAAGCATAGTAATGCATGCCTGTAATCCCAACACTTGGGAGAGTAAGGCACGAGGATTGCTGTGAGTAAAAGTTCAACCTGGGATACCAACTGAATGCCAGTCCAGCTAGGGCTATATAATAATTCTGTCTCCAAAACACAAAACGACACAAAGGCATATTTAAAATTCTACAAAAGGAGCTGAAGAGATGACCCTCCATGACTAGAGAGGTGGTTCATCAGTAAAGTGCTTGTGGGCAAACAAAGACATGAGTACAATTCCCAGCACCCAAGTAAAAAGTTGAGTGGTTGATGCATGACTATAATACTAATTAGTGTTGGAGAGGCAAAGACAGAAGAATGTCTGGGGCTTGCTGTATAATTAAACTACTCTAATAAAATAAATATAGTGCATTTTTATAGCAAAGTGAAATCCTAGAGACCCTCTAAGTCTATAAGAAGGTAAGTCCTAGAGTGATTCCAACTTCAGAGCTCCTGTCTTGAAAAAAAAAAGGTAGAAAGCACCTGAGGAAGACACCTAATGTCAACCTCAAGTCCCCAGATGTATATGTACATTCCAAAACCATGCACACTCATGAACATGTATATACACATATGTACATACATAGACACAGAGAGAATGCTCCAATTCAACAGTTAGAAAAACATTTCAGGGCTAAAGGGATGGCTCAGCGGTTAACAGCATGAATTGCTCTTGCAAAAGACCTGTTTATTCCCAGCACCCACACTGGGCAGCTTATAACCACCAGGGAAATCAGTCACCCTCTTCTGGCCTCCACAGGCACACAAACAAACACACAGGCATACATATAATTTAAAATAAATCTTCAGAAAAGAACATTTCATTAGAAAATAGGCAAAAGACATAAATAGGCATTTAGCTAAGCAATATACAGGTAGTGCACAACTACAAGAAGTATCAGCATCAGCAATGCAAGTTAATACACAATAAGCTATTGCTGCACACATATCAGAATAGCTAAACAAAAACATGAAACAACTGGAACACCATATGCCAGTGAGGATGCAGACCCTGGGTCATTTATATATCGCTGCTGGGAACATAAATGGAATGACAACTCTAAAAAAAATTGATAGTCTCTTAAGTAAGTATCTCATGGCTGGTGTGATAGCACATACCTGTAATCCTAGCACTTGGAGAGGAAAGAGTTAGGAGGACTGTAAGTTCAAGACCACCCCAGACAACATAGCAAGAGTCTCTTTCAAAAATAAAACAAAAATAAATATATAACTACCATATAACTAGCAACTGCTTTCCTGGAATTTAATCCCAGTGAGTAGAAAACAAGTTCACACAAAATCCTGCACACAAATGTTTATTCAGCTTTATTTGCAATACCCATAAACTGGTAATGATTCACAGGTCCTTCAGTGGATAAATCATTAAATTGTAGTATATATCCATGCCACTGACTAGTACTCAAGAAAATTGATAAAAAAAAAAAAAATTAACAGAGGAGAAACAGAACAACAATGAACCCCCAAAGAATTATACTGGGGTGGTAGAAAAATTAATTCCAGAAGGCTGCACACTGTATGGTTACATTTACATAACATTCTTGAAACAACAAAATGATATCATTTGGAAGGCAAGTTAATGTTTTCCAGGAGTTAAAGAGAAGTCAAGGCAGGAGAGACGTGGGCGCCATAGAACAACATGAGGGCAAGTTAAAGAGAAGTCAAGACAGGAGAGACGTGGGCGCCATAGAACAACATGAGGGCAAGTTAAAGAGAAGTCAAGACAGGAGAGACATGGGCGCCATAAGAACAACATGAGGGCAAGTTAAAGAGAAGTCAAGACAGGAGAGACGTGGGCGCCATAGAACAACATGAGGGCGTGGTTCTGTATCTTGTCCACACCAGTGGCAGTATGTTCACTGTGCTGTTTCGCTGAGACTTTACAAAATGTCACATCTAGAGGGATCAGGTGAAGGGTATATGCAATCTGTCCCTATTATTTCTTCCAAGTGCACATGATGCTACAATTACTTCATAACTTAAAAGTTTAATGAAAGTATAGCTAAAATTCCCAGTTAAATAGAATTCTAAAGAAAAATAGCCTGTAAGTAGCTACAAGTAATGATTTAAAAAATCTCTCTCAAGAGGGAAACTTCTCTCTCTTAAACTCATTGACTCTTACTAGTTATCTAAAAATATCCTATACCATGTATAATCTATCTAGTCTAATGGAATAAACTACATTTTTTTTCAATTTTGTTTTGTTTTGTTTTTCGAGACAGGGTTTCTCCTTATAGTTTTGGTGCCTGTCCTAGGTCTCGCTCTGTAGACCAGTCTGGCCTCGAACTCACAGAGATCCGCCTGGCTCTGCCTCTCAAGTGCTGGGATTAAAGGCATGTGCCACCACCTAGCTGGAATAAACTACGTTTTAATGGCAAAGTATAACCACATCCTCTGGATATCTAGAACAGGATTGGAGTAGAACCAAACACTTAGAACCAGAGATGAAGATTTAGCTCATCTTCATAAAGATGAAGATAAAGTCTTAAGGGGAATTGAGCTCACCCAAGGGAAAAATATACAATCTGCATTATGGCAGTATACCTAAGACCACAAAGTAGGTTCACACTAGACAAAAACTCATACATTTCATTTCTTTTCTAGACTTATTCCAACTGCTTGCATAAATATAAGAAGATACAGCACACCTTGGACACCAACCAGAAATGTCCCTTTTAAAACCCAAAGGAATCTTATGACAAATGCCTCAGAATGGCTCCGGTCTGTGCCCCAGGGCTCATTTGAAAGTTTATCACCCCTCTGCAATCTTCAGAAGAGGAAAAAGCATTCCGAACTCTGTGCCAGAGACACTGAAGATATGACGCTCCCCAGCAGCAAACAGGAGACTGTTCGCCCTCGTCCTAAAATGGATGCAAATATTGTCCACGGCAACAGTCTTCAGCTTGAGGAGTCCATCCTGAAGAGCTCTGAGCAGATGGTTCCTCGACCAACTAAGAGCAACAAGAAACCAAATGAGAGTAATGGCCGCTCACCTTCCACCTGAAGCTCCACGGCAACAGTTCATCAAGCTGCCAGTTACTCTGAGAACTGTGGCTGATCGAGATGTGCTGACACAGTAAAAGTCAGCAGCCCCCCTCCCCCCCTTCACATGCATGTGTGGATACTGAACTACAGATTTTACATAGCCCATCTTCCTTAAAGGAAACATCTTTCAGAGGTTTTAAAAATCCAGAGGAAATATAGAAACGTTAAAAACACATATATTTAATTTGTATCAACATGGGAAAGAGCTTGAAACTGTTGATTTCTTCCAAAATTATGTGTGTATATAACAACAAAAAACTAAGACTTCAAGAAAGGAAAGACATGCTATCAGAGATTTTAGTCACTTTATTGAATCCGCAGCCAGCATCATTCCTGCATCTCTTTTAGATAGTTGGTATGATAGAGAAAGCACAGGAGAAATAAGCAGTATCTCTCCCTTCTAGAAGAACATAATAGAATTGTTCCTGTGAACGCATATGATAGCTGGGCAGAGTGGCATACTAGCAATCCCAGCACTTTGGAGGTAGAGGCAGAAGGATCAGGGATTCAAGGCTAGCCTGGGCAACATTTAAAAAGCAAGATAATAAATGCTAATAATAACTGAATAAGAATACATAGTAAAGCACTAATTTGTATACCTCCAATTGATGAAATAGCACATATTAAAAGATGCTAATTGCACAGACTAAAGGGAACCAAATGACATGGAAATATATTATGGTTTCAAAGTCATTTTACATCTCATAATTAAGCAAAGTTGTAAAAGATTAGAAGTCCCATTTCTCCTGGAGTCAGTGAGTGCACACCTCCAGCCTTTTATTCAAGTGGATACTTCAGAAGCAAGTCCTACACATCACATTTGTCATAAGGTGGTGAGCAGTCAGGCTAGGGGGTACAAGCTATAATCCCATCTGCTTAGGAACCTGACTGAGATCACAAGTTCAAGGCATGCCTGAGCTACGACATGAGTTCAAGAGCAGTCTCAGCAACCTGATAAAATCCTATATCCAACCAAAAGACTAAAACAACAAGGAGGGAAACTGGGGGTGTAGCTTAGTGAGAGAACTACATGCCTAATGTGGGGAGGCCCTAGTTTACACCCCAGTATCACACAAAAATAAAAATAAAAATATAGTGAGTACAAGGAGAGATTCCTACTGCATGTGCAAAGAAGTAAGTGTAGCAAGTGTGTCAGTCAAGATGAAGGTGAGTGAGTGAGGAAGCAGGAGACAGAGCAGACACAGGTCACAGGTCTAAGTGGGATAAAGAGGTTCTGCAGTCAGTGTTTCTAGTAACTGAGGACTCGAGAGCTCACTGCAGTGTTAAGAAAATAAATGTTATTTGTAGGGAATTCTGAGCATAAATTTCCTCAAGAATCCTTATACATGGTAGGAAACAACTGTTTTTCTCAGTAAGGACTGTGTTGTGGGGGTTGGTGTCTGGGTTCTCAGGTCCCTAATTTCTTTGCTAGGAATTCTTACCTTGGTAACTGACACTGTGATAGAATACAAGCTCTTAAAAGTCAACCTGCCCTTGTTCTCATAAATCAGGGAAAGCTAAACTTCATGGAAATCTAAATTTTTAAATTGGCATTTGTTCTTTGAAACTTCAGTTATATGAAAGTTTGAGACTACAAACTCTAGAGTTGAACATCTTTGTGAGTATAACCAAAGTAATCAACTGGTTTCTTGGAAGACTGGGGTGTATAGAGGTATTTCCTTAATTATTTTGCTTTTATCCTTTCCCTTATAATCCCCTGCCCTGTACCATATTTTTTAATGTCTTATTACATTATTTACTTTTTTGTGTGTGGAGGGAGGGGATGTGTGAATGCTCATGCACCATTGGGTCACGTATGCCATGGTACACACGGAGGTCAGAAGACAATTTGCTGGAGTCCATTCTCCTCCCACATGGCTACAGGGATGGTACTCAGATGGTCAGGCTTGGCAGCAAGTGCCTGTACCCACCAAGCTGTCTAACAGTCCCTCCCCTTGTCTCTTATTTGCTGTAAATACCTGACATGTAGACCATTTTCACTTTGTCCTTCATGTTATAATATTTAAATTCCCTAAGTATGCCACTCTTCCATAAAGACCATTCATTCCGTCTGATTATTATGTAAACCTTGCAGTACAACTGGAAAGCCTCTACTTCTCCTTGAAGATTAAACTCAAAAGTTCCCTTCTCTGGAAAACCTCCACCAGATCTCTCAGGAATTTATAGTAATTAGATTAATATGCCAAGGCTTTGAGTGGAATAAGTAGGTACTATGAGAAAGGATGAGTAATACGGAGAACTGTAAACTCTAAGAAACAATGGCTCGGAATTAAAGACACTAATGAATGCTGAGTTCATCCATCAGTTAGGTACAAGTGAGGCTTTTCTCCATTTAGGATGATGTTGGCTGTGTGTCTGTCATATACATGTTGAGCTATGTTCCTTCCAGTTCCACTCTCTCTAGGACTTTTATCATGAACGCATGTTGGAGTTGGTCAAATGCCTTTTGTGATCAGTGCTGGCAAAAGAATCAGCAGACTAGTGAGACAAAATAGCCCAGGAAAGTTCTGGAGAAAGAAGCAAAGCAGTGTGATGGAGCAGTGCTAGAACAAGTGAACACGCATACACAAAACAACAAACGAAGTGGAGTCCAGACACAGACCTCACAGCACAAATGAACTCAGAGTGGGTCATCACATCCCAAGCGGTGAAACACGAGCAGACAATGTAGGAGAAAGCCGAGATGACACTGAGTGAGTCAGGATTATACGTACCTTTCTCTCGGTTTTGCAGTGAACCTAAAATTTTGGAGTTCTTTCAGAAATATAAAAAGTAGGCAGAGATCCATTCCTAGAATTGATAGTTTCCTTACCTGTTCCCCAATAAAAAAAAATAAAAACTGGTAAAATGATTTTTAGAAAAACTAAAGTCTCCAGAAGTTGTCCCCAAAATGTATTTCAGGGCCAGTGAGATGGCTCAGCAAGTAAAGGAGCTTCCCTCCAGGCCACACAACCTGAAGTGAATCCCTGGAACCCACATGGAAGGAGAGAAACGGTTCCTGCAAGTTGTCCTCTGACCTCCACAGTCTTGCTGTGTGTGGGCTCGTGTGCCCACACTCACGATAAATAAACACAATAAATGAGAAGATTGCATTCCAGAAAAGTTAGAGTCCTCACAATGATTGCATGGCTGTATGCACTTCCCTCCCTTCAGACTTCCTCCTTCAGCCCCTCTCCAAGTTGCAGAGGCAAGTTGCTCCAAGCAGGTGCAAGCAGGTTAGAGACATCCCTTTGCCACCCAACCATAGTACAAAGGCCCTTCCCCTTTGTACTGGAGCTAGTCACCTTTGACCAGCTTCTTCATAAGGTAGAAGTTCCATATGGGAACTGTCAAGTTGAACAGACCAGACTACTGCCTCACCAGCACCTACTCTAAGAACAGCCATGTCATTCAAGACAAGCAGCACTGTCACGAACAGCAGCTCCACAGAAATAGCTCAGATATCAGGTCTCGGGAAAAGCATACATAAGAGCAAAGAGTTCCGAAACTCTTCCCAAGGAAACTTGTTTAGCAGAGTGTGGGGAAGTTCCAGGGCAAAGTGATGCCTAAACAGCGAAGGCTTTGGCAGCACAAGGTTAGTTGCTTATTAAAAGCAGTAAGCTCGACCACAGACTAGGTAGATCATGAGAACCAGTGAACAACCCAGCAAGCTAGCCCTGTTGGAATGAAAACAAAGGGAAAATGAGGAGAAGCCAGACATGGTCTGTAATCCCAGCCCTTGGGAATCAAAGGCAGGAGGATTTCTGAGAGTTGAAGCCAGTCTGAGCTATAAGATGAGATAGACCGTGCCTCACAATAATAAAAGAAGGAAAGACAGAAACATTGCAGGGGGCAGGCTGACTTAGACTCCAGTTGAAAATGGCACAGTGGTTGTACATTTAACTTTTTCTTCCCAAGACCTCACTAAAATGGCACTTTCTTTTAAAAGCAAAAAGCTGAGAGGGCAAAAAGCTTTGAACTTCCGAACAATAACAGCAAAGGTGGACAGTGTGGAATACAGTCTCAACACTGTATAGGAAAATGAGTTTAACCAAAAGTTCTGTCTTGAACAAGCTTAAGAATAAAATAAAGATCTTATCAGTTTGGCAAACTTTAAAACAAAACAAAACAAAAAAACCTTTGGTGTCCCTCCTTTCTCAAGAAATCACGGAGATTAATTCTAACGAGTGAATAAACCAAGGAAGAGAACAGTTTCTGATCCAGAAAAATAAGAAATTGAACCTAGCATAGAGGCAAAGAGAATCCCTAGGAAGAAGTAAGACCTCAGTTGGGTACAGGGTGTCCTAGAGAAAGGAAGAGAAACCCGAGAATTTAGCATTATTGGGGAGCTGTCTACTGTCTTTCCAAGCTTACCCAATTCCTAAGTTCCAGCGATCATGTGAGCTGCGAAGGCAAGTTGTAAACCCGGGCCACAAGTCCTTGCGACTTTGAAACTCAACGCTCTCTTTCTCTTTTAGTTTCAGATGGGAGCACACTGCTCCTGTTGCTCCACAACTCTTGAGCATTACTTTGCTGATGGCAAAGTTCCCAATACAGAAAAACAGTCCCCCTCCCCTGCGCCCCCCCCCCCCAAAATGGGTCCATGGTATAGCTGCCTTCTGAATGAATGAGTAGAGGGGACCCAGGTTCCACCTGTGCGCTGGCTGGGGAGTTGGCCACATGATCTAAGGCCCTCCCTAGAAAGATTCTAGGTTGTGTTTATCTGGGTTACATCCCCCGGAGCTCTGGAAGCTGACATCTACTTTCCTTTCAGAAGTTAGTGTGGTACAACCAGCACCCTCACCTGGCTCACTGATCAGGTGGTTTGTGTGTTCAGGTGTGGGTCATGTGCTCCGGTGAGCAACAAGAAGTTGTTTATGCTCTTCATTTCTGAAAAGTCATAAGACACAGGCAAGTTAAAAACCGAAAGTGAAATCAGCTGATAGTGACATCAGTCAGCACAAATGTACCAAAGTTCAGAGTTGTTTACTTGGACACTGCTGTGAATGCAGGAGGACACTAGCTCCGAGCGGGGGATTGCAGCTGCTCTCCTCTGCCCTAGTTCCTGGAGCCTGACATCAGAAAGCAGCCCAGGAGAGAATCCATTCCCGGAGTCGATTTCCTGTGTCACCTTTTGATGAGTGTTCGTGGGCTCTAGCCTTGGTTTTCGTAAGTACCTCCTCACAGCTCCACAGCAGAGACATTCTAACAACAAGCAAAGGGGAAAGGCTTGCTTGGTGTTTGTGGCCTCCTCTCTCCCCGGGATGTGCTCACCCTTTTACCTCTGTCCTATCCGCATGCTCTTAAGCATCACTCTGTGTACCTCGGCCTCAAAGACGACGAAGGTAACACTGGGAAATGGTTAGAAACACACAAGCTGACTTCGTGCAGCCAGGTCTCTGCACACCCTGTACCAGTAAACACCTGTGGCTGCAGGACACACTGTTCTCCAGAAATAGACAAACAAAACCAGGTCACTACAGCAGCAGCTAAACTAATACCAGGACTTCAGAAAACACCAAGGAAAGGTCTGTGTTCTCGGCTGAAAGAGAAGTACAGGATCTAAGAGACTTTAAGACCCTATGTCGTCATAGACTGCCTTTCAGCCCCGCAAAGCAAACTCACACGGTGGGGGAGAGGGGGTGTCCCTTGGAACAGATCTTGAGAGTTTGGGGGGTTGGTTTGGTTTTTTCTAATCTGGGCTGATTAGTACCTTCCACTATACTTCTTTAGTCTGTAAAATCAGAGGAGTTGTTCAGTAAGGAGAGAGAGAAAATGGGGACAATATTTCTTTTCTTCAAGACAACTGAGCACATTTTCAGTATTTTCTTCCCTACCAGGTCTTCCTAATCTCAGGTCTATATTTTACACACAGCCTTTTCTACAGTTCTTACTTTGGTTCCCACATTATCAAATTACTAAGGCTATGGTGACTTGTTTTATAAATTTCACTTTTTCACAAACAGCACATAATTTCGGGAAGATTTTAATGTAGTCTTCACCCAGAAATACCATAGCTAGCCAGCACTGGGACTAACTCCTTAGTCCCTCTCTCCTGAACCTCTTTCTACAGATGACTTATCACCACATGTGCTTCTGTGACCTTCCTAAAAGCTGCATGCTGGTTCATCACCTTGATGTGCCATAATTAACTTCTAATGTTGGAAATTCAAGCTGCCACCCACTTTATGCCCAATATTGTGATAACCCATCCTGTGTTAATAAATCAGGAGTTACATTCCTGATACTGTCTTGGGATAAGGTTATAAAAAGTGGGTTATTAGGCCAAAATACATACAAACTTTAAATTCAGAGTCACTGTGTTAGAAAGTCAGTCTTGCCAGTTGGAATGTCACCGAGAGGGTTATCTGTAGTTTTTAGAGAGAAACACGGAAGTTGTTCCTTAGCATACCTTGGAGGCACTAGGAAAAATAGATTTTTTTCATGTTAGCTACATTCTATTGTGAATTCCCTCATTCATTTTTATTTCATGCAGTGTTTTTTGATGTTTGCATGAACATTTCCATATATTAGGTATATTAATCACCTTATAATTATTGCAGATACTTTCTGTGCTCATTGTCTTTTAATTTTGTATTGCTTTTATTACAGGTGCACAGAAATCTCCATTTTTAAATAGCTAAATCTATAATTTCCTTGTAGTTTTGATTTAAGTTCAGAATGTGCTTTCTCATTCATAAATCAAAGATTATTTTTTTTAGATTTCATTTTACATGGATTCATTCTTGAATCCATGTGAAATTTATTTTGGCATATGGTATGAGGTGATGCCCTAAAATAGTTTGGGGTTTTTCTTTATTTGGGAGGGGCTTGTTAATAATCAGCCACTTTAGCATTAGCTAGTTAATGGAAGGTTCCCTCAGGCCTCAAACCTGATGTCTCTAGTGCATATAGCTCTTCCTGACACTCTAATATGGAACCATTACATTACATATTCCTGCTGGTTTCTCTTCCTCACTTTGCCCTGTTCATTTCCTTCCCAAAGATTTTCAAAATAATCTCCCTAAAAATCTATGTGGTATATGTCTTACAAGCAGAGCACAGGCTCAGTTGAGGGGGGAGGGGGCATTTTGCTTGGCCAGTGTGTCTTTAATTCTTCAGGACCCCTGGCTCAAGGACCTCCCAGAGGCATCATTAGCGGGGTCAAGAGATGAAATCCTAGCCTGGGAAAGGGAGTGGCACCTCTCAGAATTGCAGGGAAGAGTGACAGGGCTCAGTAATGAGAACCAGGTCCTGGGAAGCCTGGTCCTCAGCCTATGAATCAGCGGTCCTAAACCTGCTGAGAGACCTGC